CTCTGGAGAACAAGCTGTGCGAGCTTCGGGCACGGATCTCATTCCAGCGAGAGATGCGGGACTGCTGCGTGATCTGCCTCACAGAAACCTGGCTATCGGACAAAGTACCGGACTCCGCAATACAACTACCGGGGTTCTCCGTGCACCGCGCGGACAGGTCACAGGATCTTACTGGGAAAAGCAGAGGCGGTGGTGTGTGTTTCATGATCAACAACAGCTGGTGTGATTATGCGAACGTGCACCCGGTCAAATCCTTCTGCTCACCGGACCTGGAGTACCTGATGATTAAGTGCCGGCCATTCTGGCTACCGAGGGAATTTACAGCAGTGATTATTACGGCTGTTTACATTCCCCCACAAGCCGACACTGACCGTGCACTCAGGGAACTGTACAGCGCGATCAGCAGCGAGGAAACCGCACACCCAGAGGCAGCATTTATCACAGCCGGAGACTTTAATAAGGGAAACCTGAAGAAAGTCTCACCCAAACTCCACCAACACATCCATTTTAACACGCGTGGAGACCGGCTACTCGACCACTGTTACACCTCTTTCCGGGATGCGTACAAAGCCCTCCCCCGCGCCCCATTCGGCCAATCAGATCACTGCTCCATCCTGCTCCTGCCCGCCTACAGGCAGAAGCTGAAACAGGAAGCTCCAACCCGGAGGGCGGTGCACTGTTGGACGGACCAATCGGAGTCTGCGCTGCGGGACTATTTTGATCACGCGGACTGGGAAATGTTTCACGTGGCCGCCAGAGACATTGATGAGTACACAGACTCAGTCTGCGGATTTATCAGGAAATGCGTGGAAGATGTCGTCCCATCCAGAACAGTTAAATCCTTCCCAAATCAAAAACCCTGGATTAACGGAGATGTTCGCGCGGCACTGGCGGCACGGAACACCGCCTTTGCCTCCGCGAACACATCGGACTACAAACACGCACATTACCAACTCCGGAAGACGATCAAAGCAGCCAAACGTGAGTACAGGGACAGGGTGGAGCAACAGTTTGACAACCCTCGGAGTATGTGGCAGGGACTAAACACGATCGCAGACTTTAGAGGGAAAACCAGCACACCGCAGACCACGGCCTCTCTGTGTGAGGATCTAAACGTATTATACGCTAGATTCGACACAGCGAACACCATGAGACCGGACAGTGTGCGCACCGCGGATGACGTCAGTGCGCACACTGTGTCTGAGGAGGATGTGCGGAAGTGCTTCAGGAAGGTGAACGCACGCAAAGCTACTGGTCCGGACGGGATTCCCGGCCGCGTCCTCAGGTCATGCGCGGCTCAGCTGGCTGGAGTGTTCACGCACATCTTCAACCTTTCCCTCTCTCTGTCTGTAGTCCCAGCCTGCTTCAAAATGGCCACCATCGTCCCTGTACCCAAATCCTCCACCATCTCCTCATTGAACGACTGGCGACCTGTAGCCCTGACCCCCATCGTAAGCAAATGCTTCGAGAAGCTGGGACTTCATCTGCTCTGCACTACCCGACTCACTGGACCCTCTACAGTTTGCATACCGCCACAACAGGTCCACTGATGATGCCATAGCCCTGACACTACACACTGCCCTGTCACCCCTGGAGAAGAGAGACACGTATGTGAGGATGCTGTTTGTAGATTACAGCTCAGCATTCAATACCATTGTTCCCTCGAAGCTGGACAGGAAACTGCAGGATCTAGGACTGAGCAGCTCCCTCTGCAGCTGGATCCTTAGCTTCCTGTCTGACAGACGCCAGGTGGTCAGACTGGGCAGCATCACCTCATCCCCCGTCACACTGAACACTGGTGCTCCACAGGGGTGTGTACTGAGCCCTCTCCTGTACTCACTCTACACCTACGACTGCACGGCCACTAACAACTCCAACATCATTGTGAAGTTTGCGGACGACACTACAGTGGTGGGTCTTATCACCAACGGTGATGAGACGGCTTACAGGGAGGAGGTCAGCGCCCTGACCCACTGGTGTCAAGACAACCATCTCACCCTCAACGTCGCAAAGACAAAGGAGTTGATAGTGGACATCCGGAGGTGCAGAGAAGTACACACCCCCATCACCATCAACGGCGCTGCTGTGGAGAGAGTGAGCAGCTTCCGGTTCCTTGGTGTACATCTGGCTGAGGATCTTACGTGGTCAGTACACACAAACAAAACAGTGAAGAATGCGCAGCAGCGCCTCTTCTTTCTCAGGAGACTGAAAAGATTCGGCATGAGCCCCCGCATCCTCAGGACCTTCTATCACTGTGCCATTGAGAGCATCCTCACTGGATGCATCACCACCTGGTATGGCAACAGCACCGCCTACAACCGCAAAGCTCTCCAGCGAGTAGTGCGGTGCTCTGAACGGATAATTGGAGGTGAGCTTCCCTCCCTCCAAGACATCTACAGGAAGCGCTGCCTGAGGAAAGCGGGGAGGATCATCAAGGACTCCAGTCACCCCAGCCATAAACTGTTCAGACTGCTTCCATCAGGAAGGAGGTTCTGCAGCATCCGGTCCCGTACCAGCAGACTGAGAGACAGCTTCTTCCACCAGGCCATCAGACTGCTGAACACGTCATAGACACCTCAGCTTCACTACTGGAACTTTAACATTATGCACTCCATACTGTTTACTCTATTTAATTTGTAAAATATGTGTGTGTACACACACACACACACACACACACACACACACACACACACACGTAGAAAAATATTTAGCATACACATCCAGAAATGCATACACTATTATATATTGTACATATATTTATTAGTTTCAGATGTAGCCATTCTTGTATTTTGCTTGTTTACATTATTGTATTTTGCACAACTCTGTTGCTTGTGAAGCTCGCACACAAGAATTTCACTCACATGTGCTGTACCAATGTACCTGCACATGTGATGTGACAATAAAAGTGATTTGATTTGGTTTTCCTTAAATTACAAAAGTGGATTTTAAAGGGCAACGCTCCAGTTTTACTCTAAATATAATTTCAACCAAATACATCAGACGGCAGCCGGTTTATGTTTGACTGTCAGTTTTAATTTTTCACATTTTTAGACCCTTTTCTGCAGATGACAGGTGCCTCTGTAGAGGAGCTACGAATCAGGCCGATGAGTCAGCGCAGTCGCTAAATCCAAACGCACGTTTTCTCTTTAAACTGCTCTTTCTCTGCTTTCCATCCTATAAAGAGCTGATTGTGTTTTTCCTGCCAGCTCAGCAGCAGCAGATGAAGTCAGCTGACATTCATATCTGTGTCATTACAGAGAGCGCCGCTATCAGACGCCGGTCGTGTAGCGGCAACATTAACAGCAGGCCGGCGGACACCCTGCAGCACTGTATGTGACTCTGAAAATAACCCAGAGTGGGCTGTAATGAGCTGTAGCGCCTTTAATGTGAGCCACTGATACATGTGCCTGTTATGGCCTTTTTGCACTTTTGCTACTATAATAAACCTTTTGTTACCAACAAAGCGACTCTTATGCTGTCTCCTGCACAAACATGTCGCTACAAAACCTGAACAGATTTCCTTCCCGGAGGCTTATGTAGCGATCAGGCGTAGATTTTACCCTGAAGGTGTGCTGTGGTATCACCAACATGTTAGCAGTATGTCCTTTAAGTCCTCTAAGCTGCGAGGCAGGCCTCCGTGGATCGGACTCGTTCGAGCTACAGCAGCTCGCCTTCGATCTCTACGTGCATCAGTGAGCCTGCAGACCAGAAACAACTAGAAGAGCTGCAGTCCTGGAGACGCTCTGACCCAGTCGTGCCTGTCTGATGGGTGTAATAACTAGCGACCAGCTGTATGTGGAGTTTGCATGTTACCCCCTAATCTTGCGCATCGTCAGCAACACTGAAAAACACGCCGTCATGACTCAGGAGCAAAGACTGTATATAAAGGCGGACATCGCCACGATGCAACACTCGTGACAGTCGCACTGATTCCTGTTCGTTGGGTTAAAATCCCTTCATTGCTCAAAGGTTAACGCTCCACCTGAAGAGTCTCACCAATGAAAACAGAATAAATGACAATTAAATGAAAGGAATAAACAGAGTTCATTTAAGGTCGTACAGCCGTTAGTTGCTCTTCTAGGAGTAAAAAAAACACCAGTGGTTAGTTTTCACCATCCTGGATAAAGCGAAGCAGCGCCTCAGTTTCCAAACCTGAGGGATCCAGGTGTGTTTTCCTTCCATCACATCAGCAGTTGTTTTCTCTTCTCCAACTTCAAACTTCAGCACAGAAGCTGCACGTCCAGCAGGGCCCAGGTGCCAAAGCTCAGTCTGAGCACTTAATGTTGAAGGAATCCCCACGTTTAATGAAGCAGAGCCTTCGTGAGGATATGAAAGACGCAGGCTGGGAGGGGCGGGCACCAACCGCAGCGCTCCGCTACAGCCAACACAGCGACCGATGACGCTGAACTCCACCGACAGCAACACCGGCAGCTAATGGCGCTCCTCTGTGCGCCACAGGCTAACGCCGCTCTGAACAAACACGCCGTCGGACGGGTTTGTGGTGTGGATGTTTGTCTGAAGCCATTTCCACAAGTTTAACCCCAGAAACGTGTGTGTGTGTAGATGTTTAGACATCTTTGTGAGGACAGAAAATTAGCATGAGTTTCAAGACATTTCTGAGACTCAAACTGTGGTTTTAGTCTCAGGGGTACAGCAGGGTGATGGTTAGGTTTAGGCTCAGCTTTCATTTGTGATGGGTTAGGGTCGGGGCACCTAGTGAGACCATTATGTCAGTGAGACGTCCTCACTGAGATATGGAAACCAGTGTGTGTGTGTCAGACAGGGTGGATTATCTGGTTCCACTTCCCCAAAAACACACATGACACAAACACATGAAGAACTGTGTTTTGCTCTTTACTGAACACAGCGACGTGCTGGAGAATAATCAAAAATCGAATATTTTAGCTTTATTTGTTCCTCCCCCAGGAGGAAAACGTCTTCCGAGATCCGACACACACTCGGGCGACGTCGACTGCTCATCTGTTAAAGTATGAACTCACCCTCTTGATGTCCTTGCCGAAGGTCTCGCTGAAGCTCGAGCCGAGGATCTCAAACTGGACGTGGGAGTTGGAGCCGTTGTCCTTAAAGTCCATCGTACCCGTCAGACCTGTGATATTTCCCTGAAGAGGAGGGTGGCAGACAGAGAGGAGAGAGACGGGGGTTTAGAAGTCACGCAGGATGATCTGTGCTCGCCGTCTGACACAATCAGGCTTTCCCCAGAACCTTCAGATGCCCCACTTTCTTCTTTTATTACTTTGTGACGATCTTTGACTCGAGCTGCTACCTGATTATATTTGGTTATTTCAGGAACAGTTTGTAATCCGTGTTCAAACGAGACACGAGCTGAGAATGACAACTTCCTGTGCTATTGATGGATTTATGCTCCAGAAATCTGTCAATTTACCTGAACAATGACAGGCAGCAGGCCTCTTTTGTACTGGGAGCCTCGCAGCAGCGTGTATCAGCACCCATGCCAGGGGATAAATGCAGCAATACTACAGCCGTACACGTCTATGTTAAATATGAACACAAATCCTAAAAGCCCCTCCTGACTGAAATAATGAAAAACACGAGTCATCCACAAGACGACTCTTTCAAATGAGGATAACGTGTATGAGACGGGAGCATAACCCTGACCCCCGTCCCAGCAATCAGGCAGATGTTAACAGGTTAAAGGGGCAAGAAGAAAGGACCAGGTGACCTCTGAAACACCTGCTGCTACACTTCCTGCATCTTTAACACCGACACCGAAAATGTGAGGAACGCAGAGATCCCAGGGTGCAGTGGGAGCCAATAAATATAGACCTAAATATTTGATGACCATCTTTATCAGGTCTGGCTGCTCTGCAGAACGATGAGGCGCCATATAGAACATCATCAGAGTCTGACTGAATGAGTTCAGCCCGTGACTGCTGTGCCGCTGCCACGAAAGGCCACGGATGAAATGTCACTTCATGACTTCCATCAGTTCGTGTTGGATGTAAAGCATGACTGAAGACGGTCATCACAGCAGGCCGGCCAACTAAATGTTCCTCTGTCAGCAGCAAAGGTCACGTTCGTCGTCACCTGGAGGAAATTAATGTTTGAAAATGTTTGGCTCTTTCAAAGATGTGCCCGAGTAAACGCATTCAACACACACCTGCCAGAGGAGGGACGCCGCTTTTCACGTCTTCGGATACGCGCGACATAAAAAGTTCTCGGCTTCTGCCATTTTTCACTCAGCGAATGTCGTCCTGTCTTTAAGTTATCGTCCATTTCATCAGCAAAGTAGCCCAGACTCGTCTGGGGGTAATGACCAACTCTGAGGTGAGACGCAGCAAAAGTGCGTCCATAACAATCAAACTGACAAACGACCGCCTGGAGCACGAAACAGGAGCTTCGAGGTTGGACGGGGAACCTCAGAAAGGGCGTGTTTGAGATGGAACAAGACCGAATGAATGTTTCCATCGCTAACCAGCTGGAATAATGGCTGCGGCAGTTTGAGGATTGTACAGCTCACATTCAGATTCATTACACTTGATGGATGCTGCAGGTGCAGCTCACGTTTGTTATTTCCAGAGCAGTTTGTGAAACGTTAAATGCAGCAACCTTGACCTCCGAGCGATGCCGGTCCAGTGCAGAGGCAGGACAGTTGGTCGTGTGAGGAGTCACAGCCTCATCAGCTCGGAGGTGAGGCTCCTCCCCCTCATCAGACGAGCTGCTGTTTTCGGCAGCTTTTTGGTATGAAATGAGAATTTTAAGCGGCTGCGTGCTCTGTCTGGCTCGTCCGCATACAAAGATGACTGCAGGAGTAATAATCCTTTGGTGGAACTCTGGATATTTCTGTCAATATCATTCAAGAACATGATGCTTTATGACTTTTCTACAGGAATCTGTAGGAAAGGAGCGCTAATGAGCTCGGCGGTGGTTACTCTGATGCGTGTCAGATAAGCAGACTCGTGTTTTAATAAAACACAACCGCGCGTGCTGGAGGGACTCATCAGCCCAGCCAAAGAGCATCTCTCTCCAATTAGACTGTGAGGACTGACTCCAGGTTGCTGCGCGCAATTTCACTGCATCTTTGATGTGCGATTGATTTTCTGTTGACAAAGCAGCTGTTTGTTCTTTTATTTTGAAAATTGTACAAATCAAATGCTCGCCTCGACTTTCTTTAAATAAATAACAGTTCTGAGAAAACTTTACTATTTTGAACCAAACTGAATGAGAGGCTGTACAGATAAAACTTCTTATTTGCACAGTTTTTGTAATGAAAGAAAAAGGCGAGTACTCGATTCAGGGTTAAATTCTTCCATCGTAAGTTTGATATCAGGGCTTAAACCAGCGGGCATGTTTTGGTCTGCTCTACTCTGGATGTGTTTTACCTTCTGGATGGTCTCCAGCATGGACCAGCCTCCGTTCCAGGGCTTGGTGGACTTCTTGATGCAGTTCAGGCTGGCCATGCTGTGCCACTTCCTGTCCTCCAGCTTCCTGTAGAAGGCGTTGGCAAGCATCAGCACGCTGTCGTACAGGTACAGGTTGGACACCTGAAGGCGAGACACGGGCAGGGTGAATACACGTGATCGCTTTTTCTTTCGATCAGCTTTTCACTGACTGTTACGTAACATCTGTCGAACGTGACGCGTGAAACAAACGTAACGTCACATCTGCAGGGCGATGAAGAATATAGATGCTAATATTTACTGTATGTGTGACAAAGATCTACGTTTACAGAATTTTCACTCTGGATCTCGAGAATGAAATCGTAGGTTTCTGCGAGTGAACACGTGAACGGGAGATGTGACGTGATTGGTGGAAGAGGACATTTATGAACATCTGCAAACACTGAGCACGTGTGACACAGCTGGATGCTGACACACACACACACACACTTTTATTCTACTCTGTAATGTAAAATTATCATTATTTTAACTTTCGTGATCAGCTGCATGTTTTGTTCTGTCGGCCAGGTGAACGATCACGTGAAGATTTCATTCCTCTGTGATGGGAAACAACATCAAAATTTCTGGATCAGACAATTAATAAAGTCGTTGTTACATCTTATGGCTTCTGTCTCTTGCATGTGGTTAGTGTTACATTTCACAAGCACCCTCACATCATCTGTGACAGCTGACCTCTGTTACATGAAGCCTGCAGCACGTCTCCATGTGTCACTGAAGCACACATCAGTGTACAGCACACACCTGCGGCGACCTGCTGTGAGGCTCCTGCTTGTTTGTTGGCTTTCTTCCCCAACATGTAGCACCTACGTTCAGCTGTGCTTTCCTCAGTCGCTCTCTGATCCTCAGAGTTGCTCCTGTTGCACTTTATTCACGTCTGCACGAGTAGTTTGTGCCCAGAGGTCACAGAAAGCAGGCATGGACGTCCACCTGGAGCCTGATGATGAACTGTAACTCGCTCAGATCTTTCCTTGGTTTGCTCCTCTGCCTGCTGTGTGCTGAGCCCAGTTTACCCAGTAAAAGCCCTGTGAGTGCTTATTAAGGCTCGACTCCCGCTTATATTCACTGCATTGACCTGAGCCTGACTGAAATATAGATTAAGATGCTCTCACCCTGGTTGCATTGTACAGGTGTAACCCAAATGTCTCCTAATCGTCACTTTATCCTGATGGCATTCTTTGAAAACATACTCATCCTTCCTGTGCAGCACCAAAGAACATTTAACCCTCTCTTACACAAATTACTGAGACACCTCCCTCTGAGTGAACGCACAGCGAAGCCGGCAGAAGCAAGAAGAAGAAAGTCACAGCTGAGGAGGGAATGAAGCGGAGCATGGGATGGAGACGAGACTGCTTATTAAGTTTAAAATGAGAGAAAATCAGCCTGAAAGGATGGAGAGGAAGAAGAAAAGGGAACAGGAGAGGAAACAGGAGAGGAAACAGGTGAGGACAAGGACACAGTGAAGAAATACGACGGCGCACGCAAATGTACAGAAACAGGAAGATAATCTTCAGAATAAAAGGAAAAATTTATAATAACGCCGCCGCCGTGATGTCGGACGTTTGGTGAAAACTACAATCATCTCCACAAATGTCAAAATCAGGCAGAGAAAGACAGCATTTGTCCTGAATTACAGTAATTGTTCTGTTTGCTGTCTGTGAATGTCAGCGGTGCTTCTTCACACCTGGGAATAATAGTCAGTTACTGTGTGTGTGTGTTCGAGCTAGCACAGAGGTTATTGTGCGCCCTCTGCATGTCAGCGAGATAAACTTGAATTTGATGGCTTATTTTTCACGAGGCAAACTGGCGTGTAAACTGAGAGGCGGGGAAGCGGCTCGGCTTTCGTACACGATTCATACGTGAGAAAAAACGACAGCTCCATGAGGCTTTTAACTGCGAGTAGTTTGAACGTGAGCAGCGGCCTTTGTGAGCCGTGTCCTGGTGAACTTTTACTGTGATCTGACGTCCATAAACCAGAAAGCCCAGAGATTGTCGCGTGTCTGCGTCCCCTTGTTGTCCACAAGCTGTCCTTTGGCATCACTGGTGCTGTGGATGTGGCGGTAGCGGCCACTGAGATGTAACGGACACGTTTAACAGGCACATGTGGTCCTCAGGGGGAGGTTGGAGGGCCAAATGCTGCCTTCTGATCATAAGTTTTTCCTTTGCTTGTTACTTCCAGTTCTAATCACTGGTTAGGTTTACGTACCAAAGACAAAATAAATGTAAACTTCATTTATCTCAAGGATGGGAAACTCTTCGGGAACGGCTTGTTTGGGGTCAGGCGCTGAGGCTACGTTCACACGTACACGGGTATTTTTGAAAACTGAGATTTTCCATTTTCATTTTTTAAAAGAAGTTTCGAAAAAATATCTCCGTCCACATGTAAACGCCAAAATCAAACGCTGTCAAGGACATGCCAAATCCTAACCGTGTAGAAGTCCAATCAGAAGTCCAGACGCCTGGGAGGGAACGCGCAAACAGGTACAAGTTTTTGTTGTTCTGCAAAGGCAGCGAATTTTGTGGAGCTTCTCATCATTTCAGACGTTAAGAACTAAAGACAGTATTTTAGTGGCTCTGTTAGCCTGAACACTTTACGTTAGTCTGAGTAATAATCATAACTCACAGACTCACAACTTAGGAACAGACAAAGTACGTACACATACATACATTTAATGTAAATCGCCAGGGTCGGGTTAGACCTCTGAGGGTTATGGAAAGATGATGGTGTGGGTGAGTATATGCCTATTAACAACAGTAACCTTGACGACATGGGAGTGACTGTTGCATCATAACCCATCATGATGCCAAAGGACACCTTAATGCATAAATTAGCCACACCAGAGGTTTGACAGAGCAGGGCTGAGCGACTCCCCGGGGATCACAATAGGCTGGCATGTCCTTGCCTCGAGGTATGTGGAGTACATGGGTCAATCAAAAGATCTCAATATTTAAAGTCCTGCACGTGACTGTAAAGTAAGAACTTTAGTTTCTCAGTAGTAGATATTCTGAGTTTGTCCACAGAGTCGACACTAACTGTGGTTTTCTGCAACAACAATAACAAAACTCGAGGTCGTTTGGGAGAAGGATGATGAAGATGGAGCTAGTGAACAAGGGGAAAAGGAGACGGCCCACGGGAGGTGTGTGGCGAGAGAGGACATGCAGGTGTTTGACCCGACAGAGAAAGAGTCAGAGGACAGGACGTGATGGAAACAGATGGTCTGTGATGTCCTCGTGGTTGTTCTGGGTCATCAGCGAGTCTCTGGTAGTGAACTCTGTCTAAAAGTTTGTGTCCTCATTTAACATTAAGCTGATGTTTGGATGCTGGAAGCTGATCTGACAGCTCTGGTACACTCGGTGCGTGTGCACAGTATTTGAGTGGGCGGCTGAATTTTATGAATGCGCTCATGAATTTATGGATGTGCATCAGTGATTTGTGCAGCAGAAAAAAGTTTCAACACCACAAGTTAAGACAGGACGTGTGCGTGTATTCACCCGGGTCGCCATCACAAAACAGGACGTACGACAAGTGGAGAGAAGAGTTTGACCGAGGAGGTCTAGAAGACAGGAAACTGATTTTGCTTCTCATCACATTTCTCTTTTTCACTTAACTGAATAATTTGCACCCATAATTACTCATCCCATCAGATTAATAATTAGTCCCTTTGAATTACTGCTTCATTCCCTCAGACATTTTAATTCATTCTCTGAAGCATTCATTCATTCAGCACTCTCATTATGGAGCCTTTGATGAGCGAAACACATCTATGTGAATCTTCATGTTTGAAACACATCTCTGTGGTATTTTTGCCGTTGTGTGATGAAGGTCTTTGTGTCCTCCGGAGGACAAAAGGCTGAGGACAGATGGAGCCATGTGAAAGGAAAAAAATGGAGACAAATTCCTCAGAATAAATTAAACACTGACCACACAAACTGTTTGAAAACACAAATTCCTAAATTATAATGACTTATCCAAAGTGTTCCTCCACACAGAACCTGGACTCCAGTGGATTTTTCAGTGTTTATTCCCACTATTGTTGTTTTTAAAGTATCCTAACAGGGAAAAGTGCATTACATGTTGCAGAGGTACCACTTTGCATCAACTCAGGTCTAAGGCTACGCTCCCACTGCAGGCGAAAGCGCATCAAATCAGATTTTTCTGACCCTGTGCGACCATCTATCTGATCATGGTGTGACAGTGTGAACGGCACAAATCCGATATTTTCCAGTCCGATCTGGGTCACTCTCGTATGTGGTCCTGAATCCGACACATATCTGATGTTTTAGAAAGCTGCTGTTTGATGGTCAGGTCGCATTAAATGCGTCTTTTACGTCACTGACACAAGACAGACGCCGATTATCAGCGCCAGAGAAGACATCGCGAACGCTTCCTGGCCATCCCGTGAAACTGTTGGGAAGACAACGTGAACATTTTATTTGTACTGTATAATCTGCAGATTCTGACAGAAATCTGCAGCTATCCTTTGAAGCAGCGCTCCTCTAAAACAGCAACAAGGATCATTATTAGGTTATTTACATTATTATGTAAATAACAAATAACTTAAAGCAAAAATTGGGAAACGTAAAGTCCGAAGTCTTTATATTAAGGGCCATCAGTCAAACATGCTGTTGCTCTGGGTCTAAACAGAGCGTGTTGTGTGTGACGTCTTCTTTTGCGCATGCGGCCGCTTTGAGCGTTCACACTAGAGCGCGTTTGCTGTCGCATTTTATTTGTAGTGTGAACGAGCAGACAAAAAAATCTGATTTGATCAAAAAATCTGAATTGAGCATCAAGACCTGCAGAGTGAACGTAGCCTAAGTCATCATCAGCGACCTAATCCTAACTCAAACCCATTCATGCACACTCATCGTGTGCAGGGATGTCAATTAATTCTGGTGTTTCTTTGAACTGTTCTTTTGCACAGTGGAAGGATGGTACACCATACATCTTTAATAAGTTTAAAAAACACGAGTTGGGTCCCCAATTTATTTGGGATTTTCCCTGATCCACACAGGTATGCATACAGGCTAAAACATACTCAGACACACAGAAATATTTGGGTAAATGTCCCTTAGCAAGTTGCACCTCAGTCGGATGCTTTCGGTATCCATCACCAAGCTTCTGGCATAATCCTGCACTCTTCTTGGCAGAATTGAGTTAACTTACACTGGGTGGTTTCCTGGCAGAGACACATCCAGATAACTTTTACTTACGGTTGTTTGAACCTTGGAATATGCAAACCTTCCAAACTTGTGTAAATGTAAAGTTCTCCTTCTGCAAGCTTCACTGAGTTCCTGAGTCTTGGTCAGTCCAACGAGTGCTGTCAAACAAATCCTTTCTACAGTGCAAAGAGAGACTACCAGCTGCAGCCGGTCCTGATCACTGTGCAAAGGATTTAGGCCTTGGCCTCGTTGGGTTAAAGACATTGCAGAACCTTCAGCACCAGTTATTAAAATATTAAAGCGGGCGTTTGTATGTATATATGTGAGTCTGTGTGGATTAGAGGAAACCCCAAATACACTTGTCCACATTTATAACAGAACTCAGGGAGGCATGACTTTAAAGCTAGCACTACTTTCTGCCATAGCACAACCTTTACTGCACACTGAGCTGAATTCTTGTTACCTCCAGGTTCTGCAGGTGTCCTTCCTGCGGGTCACACAGCAGCGAGGAGATCCGGTGGTTCTGCCTCATGCAGCGGGTGCTGCTGTCCTTCAGCAACGGGAAGATCTGCCGGATCACCGTCATGCGCCCCAGTGCACTGTGGGTAAGCTCCAGGATCTCTGTGTCGCTGATTTCCTGTGGCGATGAGACAGCGGGACAAAGCGAAGGAGACGTTATTGACCTTGCTCGGTCTGTTTGTCTGCATATTAACTGCTGGAGGTTGAGTGTTTGTCTCCCGAGAGGCCGGACGAGGGTTTGGTGAGAGGCAGATGCTGATTGTGGCAGATTTCTCGAGTGTTTGTTTTTGAACCCTGCGCCCGATGAACAAAAGTATGTTTATTTCATCTGCCGTGTTAATTAACTGCAGAGAATGTGACGTTTCACGAAGAAAACCAAATGTCAGTGTCAAGCCAAACGGGAAGGACGGTGCACGCCAGCCATTTAAAAGCTTCTTTTGTGCCTAATTGCTTTGATGAGAAGAAAGCCAATTATTTTCTGTGAGGTGTAATTACAGATAGCCTTGGCCGAACTCTAAAAGCATAATTAAAAATATCTATGAAGAATATTAGCTTTATTATGTTTTATAACACCAAACATAATTACAGTCTACATCTTAAGTAAAAGCGAACGCAGCGAGGACTTGCTGCAGTTTATCTATTAGAAAAGTCCACTTTCTTCTATTTCTGTATGTACGTCGCCTTCATCCAATTAAAAGTGAACCTGTAAACAAAAGTCACGCAGACTTGTTGCTCATTTATTGCACGGGTTTGAAAACATGTCATTCTGTCAGGCCAAAGGGTTTAAAGTCAAAACAAGCTGGATTCCAGGTAATTGCAGCGATGGCATTAAGTTCAGTTTGCTGGCTGAAGCATAGCTCCTCTCCCTCCTGCTGAACACACAAAGACGTACGCGAGCCTCTGTGCTGTCTCCGTACACGGCGTTTCAAAGGTAGACAAAGCCTGAAAGCTGCTTAAACCTGCTTTCTTTCTAGTGGCCACTAGGGGGCGATTACTCCTGCTCCAAAAAACGTGAGCTGTGTGACCTATGACCTCGGTTTGGTATTCTTGGGCAAAATGAAAATCATGCTGGCATTTACAGCAAACTGGACATGTTTGTGCTCTGGACTGTGGAGATGCTCACAACTGATTAAAACTGTGGAGTTTACCGAAGTACTTTTTATGGCCTAAAGAACAACAAATTTAAAAAGGCAACATTATTACTGAGCTCCTGACACTGCTAATAAAAATCATTATTCCACGAATGTTATTTATTAACGTGCATCCTGAAGTGGAATCAGACTAGTTGAGCCAGGCGTTACAGCCGCCCTCTCTCCGTTCCTGTTTACATCCCAGTCTGGAATAATGTTCCTGAGTAGGTGTGAAGCTTCAGACGATCAGGTTCATTCACTTTGTTTACTTTCATCTCTTTTCTGTACATTTTTGTGCTGGTCTGCAAAAAGCGCTCTCAGTGAAGTCGGCAGGATGATGCTGGACGCGACGATATCAAAATTTCCCCTCAGTCTGTTTGAGCTAAATGTGATGAATAAAGTCAGATATTTGGGTCACATCATCAGGAATGATCCGCCTGATGATGACCAAGTGCAGCCCCAACAAACCAACAGTGTGCAAACTGTTGGTTTGTTGGGCAGCTTGTTTGGGGTGTGTGGAGGTGACACAAAAGTGCAGACGAAACGTTTGCGACTCGTAAAGTTCTCATGTTCCGTGCAGAACACATGAAAACTGATTTTACGGTCGGCTCTGTGGCAGATACTGAAGCAGAGACTAAGTGGAAGCTGTACAGACGCTGGTATCTGCAGCAGAGTACGAGCTCGGCTATGATGGAACCAAAAACTTTTAGGCCAAAATGAGCTCCGTTCAGATTTGACTGGTCGGTGACATCAGTGTTCATTTAGAACAGGGGTGGGGGAGTCCAGGCCCCGAGGGCTGGGGTCCTGAGCAATGTTCCCTCTAATGTTTCATGTGTCTGAGCGAACGCACAAACTCCCTGAGCGTCCCTTGGACCACTGTGAGCAACAGCAGACGTGTGCACTGTGGTCACGCCAGCATCGAATCCACCCAAGTTACATGTTTATTAAAGTAATCAAATTACAGCATTTATGTTAGACTACTTTTAATTAACTGCTTCAGCCCACTTACAATGAAAATTTAAAACAATCTTGTTGATGACCTGCAGCATGTTAACACTATTGGAAGGAAAAATAACTTCAACTCCAATTTTGAAAACACAACTTTCTATTTTTTTATTTTCTTTTATATAAAGCTGTGACTGTATTGTGAGTCTGTGGTCTGGGAGAGAGTCTGTAACTCTGTCTGCAAATACAGTAAATAATGACCAATGTTGGGCAGTTAATTATATAGTTACTTCTTCAAAAAAGTAACTGATTTATGCAAACAACAACATTTTTTGCAGCTGTTTACCTAAAAATGCAGCCAAGGCGTTTTTTAAACAAACACTTCAAACTATTTACAGAACAATCAGCTGTTCTACATCAAATCTGATGCCACACAAATTATTTGTGCTGCTCCAAAAATAATTTCTGTCCACTATGAGATGAAGGAGAACATCAGCCTGATACCTGCAGGCCTGACAGCAGCAGATGTGTCACTGCTGTAACACCTGTAACATTCAGCAGGCGCCTCATTGTTCTGACACACAACAAAACTGTTGACTACACTACACACTAACTACACAAGAATTGTTTAGTTAGGTTCAGAGGGTTGGGAAGCTCATCTTGTAACCGTAAGGTCGCCGGTTCGATCCCCCAGCTCTATCTGTCCTGGTCGTTGTGTCCTTGGGCAAGACACGCCTACTGGTGTTGCCAGAGGGGCCGATGGTGCGATGTGGCAGCCTCGCTTCTGTCAGTCTGTCCCAGGGCAGCTGTGGCTACACCTGTAGCCTCCACCAGTGTGTGAACGTGAGAGTGAATGAATAGTGGAATTGTAAAGCGCTTTGAGGGCTATATAAATGCAATCCATCATTATTATTATTAATTCTTTGGCCTATTTTGATATATAATTTTAAAACATGGCTTTTAGCTGCGACCGGGTGCTTCGTGCCACGCTTTGATGCTTGATTGATCTCTGAGTGACTGCAGGGACTCAAAGAAATCCAATTCAGACCATTTGGTTGCACTTGGCACCTCTGAGGCGAGGCGCCGATGGATGCAATATTACAGGGCATGGTAATGACCTGCATTCAGGCACAAGCAGATTTAATGGGAGGGGGGTGCTGATTCTGACAGCGACTGGGAGGGAAGCTGGTGATCACGGAAAGAATCAGATAAGAGGTTTGGAGAGCAGTTATTTGGTGAAAAACACAGTGTGATGTAGCTTTCAGGAACAGGTAATGGTGCTGTGAAGAAAGATGGGATCCTGACCGAGAGCACAGGGCGCACAGCTTACTGCAGCTTATTCAGAAGCAATGAGGCTGTCGGTTAACACTTCAGATGATAGAAAACACGCCATGGCGAGCTGTTTATCATAGCCCGCCGTGAGACTGATATTATACAACTGCTGTTAGGCGTTATTAAGCAACACAAGTTTCTACCATGAGTGCAGCTCATTACACAGCAGAAAACAAAATTGTCACACTGATGAAAAATGTGAGGGCTCTGCAGTGTGGGGATGAGCTGTGTGTGAGCAGTGCAGACATCAGCAGGTTCACGGAGAGAGCTGCTCTCATACATCCTTACATGATTACTGTGGGATATTAGCATGCTAACACGTCAGCGCCGTTTATTCAGACGGTGCCGGCTCATAAGCTTCCTCAAGGTGCTGCATGATATGAGGTTCAACATCAGAGTCGTGCAGGACAGCTTTGACCTGATGATGCACTGCAGAGAATCAACAATATTATTATGATTCATCCTCAGGAAACCATGAAGTTCATGGTAATCAGCTGATCACCAGCAGGGTCCATCCTGTGGGGAGCACGCATGACCTCACGGACGCCAAAACAGTCGGCATGTCAGAGCACTCGGGTCTTAAACCACACAGTCCAAGAGTACCTGCGCTTATGAGGAAGTGAAAATAAATAAGACTGCAGTTCCTCAAATGCCCACTTGGGGCTGACTCCAGTGTTAAACCATGTTTACAGCCTGAGACAAAAGACTTTTAGTCTTAATGGATAGTTCAGTCAGGGTCCGGGTTTTTTGACCCAACATTTTGAGTTTTATGCATTTTTCGTATTATAATGGTCTTGTTTGTATAGTTTACACTTCAGTTAGTCCTGTTGATAGTGAGTTCTGTTTCCCTGTTTAGTTCTCGTCTGCCCAGTTTCATCCCGGGTCTGTGTTGGTTATGGCGTCGTGTCTTTAGTGTTGCGAGTCTGTCAAGTCCCCTGAGTTTAAGTCTCCCTCGTCTTTAGGTTAGTGTTTACTTTTGTATCCCTTCCCCTTTGTGTTTGTACCTTTTCATCAGCCTCTAATAAACAGCTCACTTTCTTAAAATATAGTTTTGTTTCCAGGTGTCTGCATTTGGGTCCTCTTCCTCTCACCACACGGTGAGCGAGGGCACCGTGTGATTACCTGGTGTTTTCATAATGTTCAGAACATTGAGTGTAGAAAGCTGTGACTTTTCACCCTAATTTACTTTGTAGTTTGCACTTTAGTTGCTCAGGTGTAAGGTCGTGTCCAAAGTTCTTCACATGTAGCCGAGGCTAGCATCCGACGCCGGCCCCCTGATGGGCATTAATGGTGTAGTTGTGTAAAAGTTGCAAAAACAAGCACCTGAGACAAACCAGCAAAGACAAGTCGCTAATACAAGCAAAAACACACCTGGGACAATGAGCTGTTATTAGCTGGTGCTAGTTATAGCTAAGGCAACAGATATTAATCTTCTGTAAACCGGCTGATTCTCTGTTGATTCTCTGAAGTGAACTGTAGTTATAAAAGCTGTCAAAACTCTGCTGCTGGAGACTTTTAAACGTGTCAGATTGGACTAATTAAACGAATAAAACTGAGAAAATGAAATATATTTTTTAAAATTCCAATAATGAAATCTCTGTGCTCTTCGTGCTTTGACTTTGATTATTGAGGGATGAGCCCGGTGTAATAACAGACACTCAAAACTCATGGCACGCTTCAACACGAGAACTTGGAACCAGTGTCTTACCCT